GCTACTGCATCCCGAAAAGAAATCATTTTCGGGTTTTGTTGAAGAATGTTCCCAGGGACCTATTCCTCAACATTGCCCTTCATCGACCTCTTTTTTGAGGGCCCTGCATCAGGGGTGTTGCTTTCTGACCTTTCCCTCTTCTGGGGATGGTTGGCCACAACACCCGATCCGCAAGCCCTCAGCTTTTCTAGCCTTTTCTTCTCATATCTGCGAGCTTCCTCTGGGGACATGCCATCCCTGATATAAGCCTCGATACCCCGCTTGAATGAACCAGAGAAATATTGTGTTTTTCCCCTGATGTCCAACCTTTTCAGGTCCTCCTCAGTTTGTTGGATAATAGGTCCAAGAGGATCCTGATTATCCGTCTCCATCGGAGGCGCCGCCTTTTCCTCTACTGGCGTGAGAAGGAGTTCCTCCTCTGCATCAGTCGAGAGAAGCTCTGGTTCTGCAGACTCTTGAGCACTAACTGTGTTTGTATTAATGTTGTCCTTAGTATTGTTGTTGTTGCAGTTGTTGTGTTTGTCACAGTTGTTGTTCTTGTTGTTGCTGTTTTTTCTGTTATTGTTAATGTTTTCCATTGTTTTGGTCCCACGAATAGCGGGAGAAAGTAAAGTCACCCATGGCAGAGCCCGGCATACCATGGGAAGGCTCGTTTAAACTGGAGGGCGCCTGGTATCCAGAGTCCGCATACTAACGACTAAGCTCGCAATTATGATGATCAAACTAGAATATTAAAATATAAGAATAAAAGAATTCAAAGTATTGCTTAAAATTCTTGAATTTTTGTCGTTTTTTATTTGATGAAATTTCATTCGATCTCCTCCGACATTTTAATTAAATTCTTATGACATAGTGGCAAAGGTCTGGTTTCCCTGATTTTATTATTGTTCCTTTCTGTAGGATTAATAATAGTAAACAAGACACTGTAAATAGTATTTTTGCAGTAAATATATGAACTCACTTAATTTCATAGTGATGGAAGACAGAAAAGAAGTTCTTTTTGCTTTGCTCAATTAAACATTTTCTCTTTTTTTTCTCATTAAATTAAATTTAATGAATTCAATATTTTATTTCCAATTAAATTAGATTCAATTTTTATAATATATTTTTATATTCTAAATCAAATTTTGATTTAAATATTTAATTAAATTTAAAAATATATTTGCATTCATATACAAACAGGTCTGTACCTGTTTATTGATGTCTTTCATTTATTTTTCATGTAATTAAATTCTACAACAATAATGTGATAATTTACTATTTTTTTTTGCTTTTTAATTTTATATCACATATTCCTTTGAAATTCATACATGTATATTAATTTACAGAGGTCAAAGTATAATTGTAAACCATTTGCTTGTTATTTCAACCATTTTCAGTTTTTTTTTAATAATTATGCAGTTAAAATTTCCAAGAAAAATTCGAAAAAAAAAAATTCATCTTAAATTTTTAATTATTTCTGTGTATTATCATAAGTCTCTAAGGGAATATGCACATTGCACACCTACATACTCGTATATGTGACGTGCCATTTATTACAGTTATAAAAGGAAGTGTATGCATTCTATTTACACAAGAGAAACTTATTCCGGGCGATATTTTTTTTTTCTTAAATTTTCTTGAAAAATACGAGTAATATAGAAATTATACAGAAATTTTATAAAATCAAAAAACAAAACAATTTATGAAAAACTTTGCAGAATTTGTTGTAAACTGAAAATACAATAATTGTATTTATTGTATTAGTTTTGATTGCATAATTGTAGACAAAAATATTAGTGCAGTATACGGCTGCATAGGACATGAGGTCCAACGCAGAGACAAAATGTTGTCCCTTTTTGTAAGCTTCTTGTGCGCTATCTACCAAGAATAGGTTAAGTAAATTTTTTAAAACGGTGTTTTATGTTCGTTTGATGACGGTGCAAAGTGCAAAAAATTTTTATAATTCTCCACAAAATTATTTTGGTTAAATGAGAATTTGCACCATTCGCAACATACTTTCAAGTGAAATATCACGATGAACTGCAAAAAGGGACCATCACACACTGTCATACATATTTTCTGTGAGTTGTCCACTATTTTCAATTTTTCATATAATTTTAATCACAATGCTATAGAATTCTTGAAAGTTAATTTAAAAATACATAGATTTAACCGGTTCTTAAAAATTAAAATTTTTACTGTAGAGAAATGAAAATTTCTCGTTTCCTGGTTAATATCTATTCTTTACCTTGTATCCATACATTATCTATATATATTTCATGAAGACATAAATAATTAAAAAAAAAAATAAATAATAATAAAAAAATTGTATATAAATTATTCGATTTAAAATGGAATATAGGTCTTAACATCCATTATACGAACAGGAAGTTAAGGTGAAAATAGAATCCCTGTAATAAAATCAAAGAAAGAAATATGACAATGAATCCAAAATGAAAAAGACAAAACAAAAATAAAATATAAGAATATATATGTGTATATAATTTCATTATTTATTTATTCCTCATTTCTTCCTTTAATGACTTGCTAAAAGGCATTAAATATATTCACTTTCATACAAAATATACATACATACATGTGCATAGTATTTTGTACGTACATGAAAACAATAGGAAAATAAATTTCCTATTTTTTTTTCTCTCTCTCTCTTCAATTTCATTTTTCCTCTTTATTTTTATTCAATTTACTATTTATTTTTCTTCTCCTTATGTTTTATTTTTCTCCTTTTCAATTTTATTTTTTTACATTTTTTTTTTTAATATTATTATTTTAATAAATCGACGGTAACCTTAAGCATAATTTCACCAATTCAATTAGTTTTCAAGCAAGCAATCTACTATTTGTAAAAAAAAATTGTTACCAAAACAAACTTAAGTGAACTGAAAACGGTAGGTGCTTGAGTCAAGTTAGTTTTGTACACTTAAATTCTCATACATATTCATTAGATATTTTTTCTTCTCTCTTTTTATTATTATTATTATTTTTTTTGTTCTTTATTACTCTGTGTTTTTCTCTTATTTTATTCAAATTAGTATTTGACATCCTACTGTATATATGATAATATAATTTACTGTTATAACAGTATATATAATATACAGCTATATCAATAACAATATGAAAATATTTTGTAACTATAATAAGTTCGCTTTATAATTTTTTTCATATATAGCACCCATATGTATGCAAAAATTGTTAAATTAAAAGAAAATTTACATATATGCATACAAAATGCAAAAATTATTCATCCATATATCATAAATTTTATAGTATAAAGTTTAGAAGGCTGTGACATGCGGAGAGAAAAACATAGAGAAATTTTTGTATTCTTTCTGAAGAAGAGAAGAGTTTATTACACGAGAAATACGTCTCTTACGATCTTGAATAAATTTCATTTTAATAAAAATTTGCTCTCACAAAAAAAAAAATTTAAAATTCAACAAAGCTTGATTGTATAACGATAAATGATTTTCGACTAATGTATTATTCAAAATATTGGAATGAAGTACATTTTTGTAAAAGTACCCTACCGATTCTTGTGGAATCAATATTATAGCAATAACAGATTTTGAAGACATAGAACAAAAATGGCTAAAATATGAAATTTTGATTGAATGTCATACCTTACAATTTTCTTATGCTACCAATTACATCATTGGTATGATTGTAGGTTTTAAATAAATGTTATACATATTTTGTACAGAATAAACAATTTATATTCTGTATGAAATTTATTTCAAAAAATTTAGATTATGATTTATAAAGTGCACTTACTATACATGTACATACAAATAATTTAAAGTGCTCTTATACAAATTTGACATAAAAGTTTTAAAAATAAAATCACAAAGTTTTGTTTTTTTTTTTATAATATATACATATAATATGTTCATATGGATATGCAGAAGAATTTGCGAGTGTTTTCAAAGAAAATTTTACAGTCGAAAAAAATTTTGTAGTAATAAAATTTTGGAATGAATGTTTTACTAACAACTAAGGGAATAACAAGTAAAATTTTGAAAATTGTTATTACGTGCTGCACAGAAATTTTGCATAGGATTAGGGGAATCTTAAAGCTCAATTTGTTTAGTTAACGTAATAGACTATTGCATACGTTCAGGAGGAATATTTGAAAAATAAATTAAAGTTTTATAAAATATGGAAGTTTTTGATTATGGAACAGGGCAGGAACAGTTAAAAAAAAAATTTTAAATAAACCATCTGGAATGATTTTCAGAGCAAAATAATTCTAATGTAGATCAATATTTATCTTATTGTTTTTTAAATACTCGTAATACAAAATAATTTTTGATTTGCTTTACTGTCGTTTCAATTTGTTTTACTGTGTCGTTATCATAGCACTGAATTACATTGTTGTCTAACTCTTGAAAATACTTAAAAAATAAACGTTTAACCTTACTACTAAAAAGTTGTGATGATTAATTTAGAACTTTTTATGGTTTTTTTTTTTGTTTTTCTTCTTTTTTCTTTATTGCTTTAAAACACTTTCAAAAAGTGTTCTTGTAATTTTGTTTTTGATTTCTTATGTCATAAATAATTTGAATAATTTGAATTATAATTAAACTATAAAGTAATTTATACAATTTGAACTAGTTTCGGATTACTTATCGTAGGATAAAAATTTTTAAAGTATATTTAAATAATTTTTAAACCCAATTTAATGTTTTTATTCATAAAAAATTTTTGTAAGCAATAGATTAATATGAAAATATTAATATTCATTCTTTAATTAATTCAAGGATCACAATAATTTGAAAATTAAAACAATATAATTATTTTTAGTTTTTAAATTAATTTTAATGATAACCGTACTAAAATATTTCTCGTAATGAATTAAAATTTGAGTGTTCTATATGCAATGCCCAACCTTATTCTTCCAATCTCATCTGAAAGTAATGAAATTTTAAATTTTTAAAAAATACTTTTTCAAGAGAAAATAATTGTAATATAAAATAAATTATTTATTTATATAATTATAGGTTTCATCACCATTTAAATTGAAATCATCAGATATAAGTTGCAATGGGACCACTAGCTTTGATGATTGTATGAATAGAAATAGAGTTAAATTATCAACATTTTCATCTTCTTCTAAGGATATCAATGAGGTAAAATTTATAAAGTTTTGTTTATATTTTTTTATAAAAGCAAATTTGGTAAGAGACTTCCAATAAATTCAAAAATTCTAAAGATAAAACATTTTATTATTATAATATACCAGATTACCAAGATTATTGCATATTTTATTCTGATGACCTAAATTACAAAAATTTCTCATTATATATTTTTAATTTTAATAATAAAAAATGATGATTAATTAAAAATTAATAATTATTATTTTCTTAATTTTCAATTTCTTCAATTGTATTAGAGTAGGAGTATGACTTTCAATAAATTGCATTAATTGCGTTGCAAAGCAAAAACTTTATTATTTATAATCCACCAGATATTTAAAATTATTTTCTCTTTCAAGAATAATTTAATTATTTCTTAAATATTTTAATTAATAAGATATTTTTAATAAATTGAATTGGAGAAAAAGAGATAAAAAACATTTATGTTTTAATTTTCTTCCATTTCATTGTAAATTTTTCTCCATTTACCGGGTATATTTCCATATATCATTATAATTATTCATTAAGAATTTTTAACTGAAAAGGGATACCAAATTAAAAATAATTATATGCATTTAATAAATAAAATTTTAATCAATATATCTTAATAATTTTCTTAATAATTCCATTTATAACATCATACTGAATCTTTTACATTTAATTAAAATTTAATTACTAGTTGAATTATTTATTATTATTAAATTTGGGGCCACGACATCATTCAATATAATTACATAAATTGATACAACTATTATATAATAGTTATTCAGATTTTGTGATAAAAATAGTAATTTAAACAATTGGTACCAAAGAATTTAAAAATAACTCGGAAAATTTAATAAGATTTAATTTACACAAAATTCCAATCTATTAATAATAATTATGTAAATTAAATTAATAATTAAAATATCCTGTAACATTTTCTTCGCTCATTTTTCGAATTCGTAAAATTTAGTTTTTGAAGGAGTCTCACATAATAGCCAGCATTTTGGGAAGAGGAACAAATATAAACAATATATGGCTGTCTAAAGTACTACTCTACTCCTAACATAATCAAGTATATAATATACTCTTAATGGTTTATTTAAGTACAATATAAAAATATTATTTTTTATATTGTAACTGCATATACCTATAATATTATAAATTTAATTAATTGTACTAAATTATATCGTATAATTGAATTTTTCCACAATAATAGCTTTAAATAATAACATATTTCAGTGTATATGCAATGTACACACATATATATATATACATATATATAGAGTCCATTAATGTTAATATCGATTTTTATCACATTTATATAATAATTTTTGGTTTTTCTTTTTCTTTTTAAATAAGAAAAATTAATAACTTTCCGAGAATTTTAAGAAAAGAAAAAAACCATTTATATTATAGCTACATTTAAGTAATCTTCAATAATAATTTATTATGAATTCCATTTTATATACTTAAACATTTATTCATATAAAATATAATATATAAATTGCCCTCAGTTATGAAATGTAAAAAAAGTAAATCAAAAAATCTTACAGACTTTACATAATATAAAATTAATGATATATTTTTTTTCATTTATTTATTTTACTATGGTCTGTACTTAATATATTGAAATAGTGTTCTGTACTTGGTCCTGGAGGTATAATGTACGTAAATGGAAGAATTGTTTCTGGACCGTTTGATTCATTAGTTGATATCCTTGTGCCTAAAACAGTGGAAGAATTAGATAAGGTAAAAAAAAAAAGAAAAAATATTATACGAGTATTTGATTTATATATTAATAAGCAATTTATTATACAATACAACATAAACATCAGGTGCTTAAAATCAAAGTAGTTCAACTCACAAATTATCGATTTCCAAATAATTGCATAAAACTTGGTTATATTGATAGAAACAGTGACATATAAGCAAAAATTCCATTTCAAAGGAAAAATGGTTTGATCAATTAGATTTTTAGCGCAAGATTTCGTAAATTCATTCAATACGTGATTCGGAAAAATGATCATAACCTTATTTTTTAAATACATACAATTGAAGGACTCACATTAAGAGATTTTTCAATCTACCAAAAAACACATAAAATTAAGTCCAAAATTTAAAATCAAATTTTTATGATAACTAAAAATGCAATTACTTCGAAATATCATTTTTGGAATTGATTCACTTTGCTTTCGGGCACCTCCGAATTTGTTTAACTTAAAATAGAAAAAAATAATATAATATTTTTTTTTTTTTAATAAATTAATTTTTCTTTTTTAACTTGACAGGAATTCATATTTTCATTTTTATTATCATCGCGTTTATTTATACGACCCCATGAGCTACTAGGTAAACTATTATCCTCTGTACCTGAAGATGAATCTCTAGGTCCTTTAGTTGGTTTATTAGGTATATGGACAAATAAATTTCCTTATGACTTTCGTGATGAAAGGATAATGAATCATGTTAAACATATCGTTTCTAGGTAAGACAAAAAAAAACGAAAAAATTATTAATAGTTTTGATAAAATCATGAATTTTACATTGACAATTTATGATTTTTAAATGAAAATAATAAATAATTTAGAGATTTTAAAGATTTTTCAAAAAAGAGAGCAAATTATAAAAGAAATATATCAATTCATTTTTTAAATTATTCAAGATTTTTAGGCAATTATTTTGAAAAATTGCTGTCTTTCTTGAAAATTCCTTTACAGTACTCTAAAAAAAAAATAAAAAAATAAATTTATTATTATTTTAATTAATAAAAAAATAAAAAAAAAAAATTTTTACATTAGATGTTCAAATACAGGGTTAGAGGAATTAGTTTCAGAAATGTTGAGTGCCTTGTTAAATCGTTTGACTGATTTAGAAAAACATGAAGAAGACTTAAGAGCTTGCCAAAATACTGAAAAAGTAAATTTTTTAATTATTTCATTTTAATACTAATATCTATATATAAATAAAATTATTATTAATTTGACTTTTATTATTTTATTTAATTTACATATATAAAAAAAAAAATAAAAATATATATAGATAGATAAAAAAATTCAAAGTCCAACATCATCACAATTTGCACAAATTTTATGTCGAGCTGAAAGAAAATTAGCAAAACATGTTGGTCCCGAAGAATTTTTACAATGTAGTAGTAATATTCTATTGGATAGACAGGTAATTAATATACATATACATAATAACATTTTTAATCATAGCCAATTACATATATATAAATGAAATTATTCATAGTGAAATAAAAAACTTATTTAATTGATACCGCCATATTTATAGGCGGCATTATCTTTTTATTTTTGGTTATGAACTTTAAAATTTTATGAATTCTAATAACCTGAAACGGTCTTTTATGACTTTTTAACATAAAATAAACAAGAGTCACAAGTCATTTCACCTTTTCATTGTTATTAATTTCTATATACACATCTACATATTTTTTATTGTATTTTAATGCATAAAAAATTCATAAAAACTACTTTCTAATATTCTCTTTTCGTCCTTTCATATACTCGTACATTCATTTTATACTATAATATTTATTGCACCACAATTTCAATTCTTTATTCTTTCTTTTATTGTATGTATACAATATAATACAATGTTATTTATTGTTTCTCATATATATACACAATGATTTATATAATTTATATATACGCGTACCTTGGGAGATTTTTAAATATTTAAAATGAAGAAAAGAAATAAAACAATAAACTATACAAATATCCTATAGTAATAGTTGGGGAATTCATTCTTTTCGCCATTTGTGCATATTTTTTTTTTACATATTTTATTTTAATATCTTTCGAAATTTTTCACTTGAATGCACTTTTGTTTTATTTGTTCTCTTTCTCTCTTGTGTTTTATAAGCTTTATTCTGGTTCATCTTATTAGAACATTTCGAAATAAAATTGATAAAAAAAAAAGAATTGTTTTATTGATTTCACTTTTTCTATCTGTCTGTGCCATAGGCTATTCTTGTGTTCACATCGTTTATCTGTATAAAAGAAAATTTATTTCCTATCATATCCTCCTTCGAAAAGCCCTTAAAGTTTTGTTATTAAATTTTCTAATTAACTATTATTATATAACAATTATATTAAGGAAGTCTAACAGTTTATAAAAATTAATAGACAGTTTATTTTCTCTTTGCAAGCTTTCAAATGTAACCGTCTTCAAAAACTGATAAAATTTCTCTTTTATAACTTAATTTTGTGCATACTTTTCCAAATTTTTATGTAAACGGAGCACGAAAACGGTGAATGTTTTTTAATTATGAAAAAAATATTTTTTTTTATATCAACTCACACAAGAAATCATTGACTTTTTGAACATTACCTTTTTTTTACGTTCTTATCCTAAAAATATGCAATAAAGCATAGTTTAATTTTTTTAAAAAGCCATTACTATAAAGGAAATATGCTACTATATCATTCATATGGTTTGATCCGAATTTATTCTTATATACCTATTCACAATTTATTCAAAAATTATAAAATAGAAAACGGGATAGGAAAAATATGCATTTCTAGATCTTATGCATTATAGCAACTCATATCTACGTTAATAGAATAGTATTGAAAGGGAGGAAAATGTTTAAAAGCTTGTGCATAATTAACACTGCTAATGAAATAAATCGAATAAATTAATGAATATTATTATTTATATTGTAGAAAAGTTTGTTGAACTGAGATTTAATTTATAAAAGTATATTCCGGTATTTTTTCAATCGTAAATAAAATTTGTCTTTTACCGGAAATCCTTATTTATTACAGCTTCTGATTCTGACCAATTACTTTTGTAGAAAAACCAAATCCAATTTAATTAAATAATATTTATGTGAAAATGTAAAGAATTTTTTTTTCCTTCATTATTATCGCATAGAAAAGTAAAGGCATGGAGCATAATACGATAACATTATATGTTAACGATGACAAGTCACTCGCATTTCAGAATTTCAGAAATTCAGTATAACTGCATTTCAGAAATTTAAATTCTTCATTCAAAGAAAAAGAATTCTTAAGTTAAATTAAAGAAAAGTATTTTTTATAATTACGTGCACAATATTCAAGGGTAATACAAAGTCAGACAAGAACCCATATGGCGGTCAGAACATAAAGAAGTAATTTATTCTATAATAAATCAAAAAAAAATTTTATGCATGCATTCAATTACAGTATACATCTTTTGAGCACAATCTGAGGATATTTTATGTGAATTCACATTTACATTCCTTTCTGTATATTTCCAAAGGCATATTTTAATGCATATTTCAATTCACTTGTAAAAGCCATAACCTTCATTTAAAAAAAAAATTATATACAGAAGTGCACAATGTAAATGCAAAATTTTCACTTTAATGTTATTATATAATTTTATCTACATATTTACGGCATATACAATATTATGTAAATATGCAGCATTTGTTGTATTAAAAATTCAAGAAATGCTATAGTGGGTTGGTAAGGTTTTGTGATGTATGAATGAATTTCATTTTATAATACATTCTATACGTATACTATAATTGCAATTTTAACGCTATAAATTTCACTTAACTGTTTTTAATCTTACATAATTTCTTATTTCCTACACATTTTTTTCATTTATATGTGGTTTTTTTCCAAATTACCATATTAATATACCAAGTTTATATAGTACAACAAATTATATATGAATGTCCTTGAGAAAGATTAAATAAAGAAAAAAAAATTTAAAATTATATTAAAAAAAAAATGCGCTTAAAGTTATGCAAATAATTAAATATAAATTTACTAGCTACCTAGCATAGCTATTTTATAATAAATTTTTTAAATAATAATTGCAATTTTTTAATATAGGCAAATTTGTAATAATCACAAATCTTACGATAGCATTACACAAATAACTAGTTAAAAGAAACAGGAATTTACTATAGTTTAATGAATATCATGAATTTAAAGACTAGAGATTACCCTTGATTCAAAATAAACTTTAATTTCCAATTTAGTACAAATATAAATTTTTTTAACAGTGCACATTGAAAATCCAAGCTTTTTATCTAACTCGTGGATAATCTTGCAAGACTCTTCTGCGTTATCTCATTTATTACTCCCAGGCACTTACCCGACATGAGAAAAGCCGCATTATTTGCATAAGCAGTATCCCTACAACCACTATACCCGAATGAGCTTCAGATAACTGTCAATAACTAGGACCCTCCTTGTATCAAGCATCTACCAATTGACTATATCCTCCTCATCTCCTACTTCCTCAAGAAGCCATACGATATTCTCCAATCTCAGATTATTGAAGGGGCATTCAATATCCAAGAAAGCAGCCAAAGTATATTCCTTGTACTGTAGAAATACCTACAACATCGCGTGTGACGGCGTTTTCGCAGATCTTCCCCTTATGAATGCATGTTTATTATTTGTTAGACCCGCCTCCATTTCCCCATTTCTTATATATCTCTCTAGTAACCTCTGCATTGTTGTCACTACGAAGGAGGACTAACCAGTTGGCCGGAAATCCCTCGCACCCATATGACCATACCTAGCAGGTTTCGGTACAAAAACTTTTTTCATTTCCGTCCAATTCCTGGAAATATAACTCATGTATACGTATAGCTCCGGAAAAATTATTAACAAATCGATGATAACCCACGGTGCTCTCAGCAGCATTATTTACCGCACTCTGTTTGGTAATGCAAACTTGTAAGAGCCAAAACACTTAATAGCCCACAGTATTTCTCTCTCCGTAATAATTTCCTTACCTATTTCGCGCAGGGTCTCTGTTCCTCTTCTTGCAATCCTCCTGCCTCTTGTGCTATCGGTTTCCTCACGAGTTGATCCCGAAAAGTGGGCCCTCATAATTTCCTCCAATGTTTCTAAACTTGCCCAAGTTCCATCGAGTATTTAAACATTTCCTGATACCAGCAACACTTTTAATAGCAGCTTACTTAGTCTCGCAAACTTCATTGGTTTTCTCCAATAACATGCCTCCTTGACCTCCGCTTGACCTTTCTTATTGTGTAATTGAAAACCCTTAGTTTGTTCTTATTTTCATCCCGCTTTGATGAACTATTACATCGCTTTACGAAATTATACAGTCTCCTTACCTTCACTATACTAAATAGGCGTTTTTTGTTTTTGGGTATATTCTCTTATTTCATTTACTGATAGTAAGCCTTTTTATCTGATATTATATTTAGCATCTTACTATTCATCAGTGTAGTTTATTAATTATAATTCATATGGTTGGATACGAAAAATTAAATATAAACGCGTTTAAAAGAGATCAAAGGCATCTTTATCAAAGCATAATTTTTTTTTTATAAAAAAAAATATTGCAAATTTTTTTTAAAACAAATTCACAAAATACAATTATTAAAAGTTTTAATTTAAATAACAAAACATAAAAATATATTAAATTTTTAATTTGAATAAAAATACAAAATCGAAATAATAATTGCTACTTGAATGCACCTTTAATATCTCAAAATCCTTTCAATTCACTTTCAGTCCTTTTTTTTCCCCCATATTTCCTGTTTGCATATATGAACATTATTAAACATAATATGGTAAAGTAAACTTTATTCAGAAAAATCCTTCCAGTTATAATTTTATAATTTTATTATATGTGCATCAACAGTAACGTTATTACATTAACTTCATTATTTAACTTAATAAAATCATGATAGCTTCCAGTCAATCAACAAATTTGAGAAAAAAAACAGAAAACGAAATGTAAATATTATTTTTTTTAAATAGTTTGCTATCAAGATTGAAATTGACTTTAAAAAATTGGAAATTTCATATAAAAATGTAAAACTAGAGTCATTAATTTATTTAAAAATTAAAATAGTAAAAATTATGATTTTATTTTGATTCAAGATTCTTGGAGGATTGGATAATTACTGGTATACAAATATTTTGAGTAAGATGAGCTTTTGAGAGTTGATGATTGTAAAGAGTTTATGATTCCATTTACAAATCAAATTTTCATTTTGATTCAAATTAGTTTGATGTTTAAAAAACAAGACTCAAATTGAATTGAAAGCATTCATTGTTCATAACACAATATTAATTTAAAAGTACAAATTTAAGAATAATGCTGCCTAATTAAATTTTCTTGAAATTCATTCTCAGGAATGAAACTAATTAAAACAAATTTTTTTTTTATAA